CAAGAAGAGGTGTTGCCATACCACACGGTGATCCCGTTGGTGAGGATGCTCTCAATGGTGCAGCGGTAGAAGTTCACCAACACAGGTACTGGCATCCCCCATCGTTTGAGTCACCTCAGGAAATAGAGGCACTGCTGAGCCTTTTTCAAGATAGAGTCCATGTGCACAGTCCAGGTTAGATCATTTGAAATGTGAATTCCCAAAAACCTAAAGCTGCTGACTGTTTCCAGTTATGTTCCATCAATACGAGTGGGCTGTGAGTGTGTGGCCTTTGTCTCAGAAAATCGACTATTAGCTCTTTTGTTTTATTTACGTTCAAGTCCAGGTTATTGCTATGACACCACCTAAGCAGCTGTACGACCATCCCTGTAAGTGGAATCATCATCATCATCATCGCTGATCAGTCCTATTATAGTCGTATCATCAGCAAATTTAATGATTCGGTTGTTGCTGTGTTTTGCTGTGCAGTCATGAGTGAACAGGGAGTACAACCTTGGAGCCTTAAGGGGTTCCAGTGCTCAGGGTGAGTGGTGTTGATGTTTTATTACCTATCTGTTCCACCTGTGGTCTCTTGAATAAGAAGTCCAGCAGCCAGTTGCAGACAGAGTTGCACAGACCTAATCCCCTGAGCTTTGTCTCCAGTTGGCTGGGTATGATGGAATTGAATGCTGAACTATTGTCCACAAACAGTATTCTCACATACAAGTTCTTAGTGTCCAGGTGTTTCAAGCCTGTATGTAGAGCTAAGGAGACAGCATAATCCACTGATCTGTTGTTCTGGTAGGCAAACTGCAAGGGGTCCAGGGACTCTGTGATGGAGGAGTTGATGTGTGACAACACCAGCTTCTCCAGGCATTCCATCACCGCAGATGTTAATGCAACTGGGCAGTAATCGTTCAGGCATGTCACTTTTGCCTTTTTGGGGAGTGGAACAATGGTGGTTTTTTAAGCAGGTGGGGACAATGGACTGTAGATGTCTGTAAACACTGTGGTCAACTGGGCTGCACATGTCCTAAGGACACAGGGTGGTATTTTTATAGATAGTGTCACAACACTTGTCCCATTTTAGGTTTTTGTCAATGACCAGTCCCAAGTACTTATAGTCATTTTCAACAGGCTGACCATCAATTATAGTGGGTTGAGGGGGTGTGGTATTTTTACTAAAATCAATAACCAGTTCCTTTGTTTTTGAAACATTTAACTTTAGGGAGAACTTGTTGCACCAGTTATTAAAATCATTTAGAATGGGCCCATGATGGTATTCCGTGTCCTTTAATAAACTGACCAGGGCTGTGTCATCAGCAAACTTAATGGGATGTCTATTTGTGTGTTTGCTTATGCAACCATTAGGTACAAAATGTACAGCATAGGAGACAGCAGACTACACAGCCCAATGGCGATTCAATTGATGTGTGGCGAATGCCAGATAAGCACTTCCCCAATTTGACCTGTTGAGACCTGTTAGTTAGGAAGCCTAGCACCCACCTTAACAAGCTGCCATTCAGATTGAAGTACTTTGAGAGTTTCTGTGCAAGCAACAGTGGTTGTATTGTGTTTAAAGCAGAGGAGAAGTTAGCAAATAAAAGCCTTACAAAGGTCCCTGGTTGGTCCAGATGTTGACAGACCAGATTTAAGAGTGTGTGTATTGCATCGTCTACTCCCCTCCTTTCCCTGTGTGCAAACTGCAGGGGGTCGATGAGGGCTTGTGTGCTCTTTATGATGTGTTGCTTCACTATTCTCTCAAGAGTTTTCACTGGGAGAGATGTGAGGGCTACGGGCCTGTAGCTGTTAAGGCCACAAGGCTTGGCAGTTTTAGAAATAGGAATTTCTTCCACAGAGAGGGAATGATCTGTAAGTTTAAGGACCTCTGGAAGAGAAAACTAAAAATATTGCATAGCTGATCTGCACAAGACTGTAGGACCCTACCACACACATTACCTGGACCTGCACTTTTCCTAATATTGATTTTCCTAAAAAACAATTTTGTTTTGTGAAAGTCTTTAAAAAAAATTGATTTAGTCCAACTATAAAACCTAATGCTGTTTAAAATCAGAACTGGCAACTCTTGCCGTAGCGCATTGAAATGGTGCAAAGAAAATATCAAACAGGGTTATAAAAATCAGACTTTGTTTTTATAAAAACATAATGCGTGTGAACTAAGAGGTAGTGATGCAGAACCCTGCCTACTTGCTATGATGTAAATAATCTAGTGTGACTATTTATATTCATGCATATGACTAGAAATGGAAACTCACCCAGCTGTAAAGATCACTTTGCCATAACACTCCAACAATTGAGCTACAGTAGCAAACAAGGACCCAATACTGAAAGGGAGCGCAATTATGGCACAAGAGAGTATATATGGGAACATCTCCACCATTCAGAATGAAATACAGAATATTTGTCAGCAGCAACCTTTCCCAGGTATGTTTTATTTTATAATTGCATAGACTTTCCAATATCTTTGATGTCTGAGTGTCTTAATGCAAGGCTGTGATTGTGTGTGCATTCTTTCCAAAATGTGCAATACATCGCTTTAAGGCTCAGTACCATGAGCTCAGATGGGCAAAGCTGGACTGCTGTCTTCATAAGGGCTCCCAGATTTGGTCCTGAGGATCTGGAATCCATGATGTTATAAAATACAGTAGCTTAAGGGACATTGGTCCCTTGTACTGGGAATAGTAGCATAAAGGGGGTTAAGAGGTCAGGACCAACACCATTCAAAATCTCTTAAAGGCAGGGCAACAGACACAAAACTTTGTGGAACTTTGTGGAAGTTAGGAGAAAAGACACCAAAGGAGAAAGGTGACAGGGCTTGAACAAACATGCAAGTTTGTTTTAAATAAACAGAACCCAGCATACTTCAAAGTCATATTGGAAGAGTTGTCAAATGTTATCACTTGTAATCACAGTTCCGGATATACTTGTACATATCTCATCTTCCCATTGCAGCTCAAACGTTTAATTATGGAATGAGCACCATTGAGCAGGAGATGATCACACAAAGATTTAACTGGGAAGAAGACCTCAGTCAAAAGCAGAAGAATGGTACAGTACCAGCTTGGGATCTTTTCTTGCCATATTCTTGCACATTTGATATCTTTATAGTTACATTTATGGGTTAGACTTTGTAAATAGCAGGAAGTCAACTAGATGACAATGTTTTATGCGCCCAATAAATAATGTACTGTTAGTGGAAGATTAAAAGTACCTTATGCAAGCAGTGAAAATAGTTGCTAATTTGCCTAGTTCTAACAGATTTGACAGCCTCTTCTTATGACCAGCAATGGGGATGACAACGATATACAGGATTATGAAGTCAGGGAGCTCTCTGCTCCTATTAAATGAGAAGTGGAAAAAGCCCTTGTCCTTACTAGAAACAACAGAGGTCCTGAGGTACTTCTCCACTTTGCTGTTCTTGTGTAAAAGTCCCAGATTATTATAAAATAAAGCTTAATTAAAGACTATTACCATAATCAGCTTTACAATCTATGCAATCTATACTTTTATTATTAATTCATTTGGCTGACACTTTTACTGGGTACTAATGTACTGTATCATACTGCAGGAATCAATATGAATCATCTTCCTCAAATTGTTCTACTTGAGATTCAATACCAAGCCTCGTTAGTTGTAAAGTCAGAAATATGACAAAGAGACTTTCTTTATGTTCACCAGTGGCCAAATATACAGTAAAAAGGTTGTACAATGGAGGTGGAGAGGTGGAATACATGACTCACTCTGCCCCTTCAATTATAACAGGTTCCAGCACAGGAAAGAGAAAACAGAAATTAAGCACAACATTGAGAATAGGAGGAAGAAAGAGAACCACTTTTATCACAAGGAGCTGTGGGTGGAGAGAACACATGGAATGACTTGAAAACAAGTGCACAAGCTAATTAGTTGCAATGAGAAAA